CCCAGCAGGCATGTCAAATTGATGTTGTTACCCAAACGTTGTGGCGATGTTGCATTTTGTTTAGAAATGAATATTGGGTTGTCGTCAGTCTGATGTCAGTGTTCAATATCCAATCTAAAATTAAGCAAATATTAACGTCTAAAGATGTTACAACTTGACGTTGTGTGGACGTTTCCGTCTATCAGACATTGTATTTTGGTTTCCATACCTGACAGATAAATGTCAGTATTTGATGTCAATATGGTGTTGGTTTATGATGTTTGTTTGTTTGGATTTTGGTCATATTCCAACACAACCTAAAATGAACCAAATATCAACGTCATTTGAAGTCATTATTGGACGTCAAAATAATGTTGTCCTTAGATGCTGGCTAGTCATTGAATTTTTGTCATGCAAATTTTGGTCACGTCATGGCGTAAATCTAAATTAATGTTAACATCTGTTGTGTGCCTGCTGGGTTATTAGTTTCAGTCTTGTATATTTCCACAGATTTTTAGCTGTAATTTTACAAACTTGTATTTTCTTATTATAATATTCTATTTTTATGTATTATCATAAAATAGTTTGCAAAGCAAGTAGTTTGATCGTTTACCCTCGTTTGTTATTCCTAGTCATTTCCACATAGGCAAATTAATCAGAAGTACTAAAACAATCACAAGAATAAGATAATTCTGCATAGCAGAATAATGTCAATAAGTCAAAGTATGTTAGTTTATATTTACATAAATACGTCTTACACACTGAATGAATCATTTTGGCTCTTATTCCAACTTGTGCTTTCTTAATGACAATATTTGAAACCTTAATGTAGACCCTTGCCTGTTTATCTTGTACAGATTACAGGTCCCTGGATTAAAGGCAGATTTGGTCCACACTGTAACATCAACACTGACTAGTAAAAAAAGAGCAACTGAAACTGTTGGAGCAGCAAAGCTAACATCAGATGGAATACAGATTAAAATAAGTTCAGCTACAGACAAGAATTCAGCACAGACAAAGAGCTACAACCCTCCTAAACTCTGTTTTAAAGTTATAGGTAAGTAAGAAAAACACATCTCTCTATTTTGAAAATTAATTTAGGTTCAAGGATGAGGGTTCCCACTGGAATATCATGGAATGACACTGAAAATAAGTAAATAAATAATAGTAAAAAAATACATAAATAAATTATATATATATACACACACACACACACACACACATATACATACACTCTGAGAAATAAAGTATTCAAGCTGTCACTGGGGTGGTGGTACACATTTGTACTTGAAGGGTCCATATTGGTACCTCAAAAGTAAATATTCGTAACTACCTTCAAATTTTAAGAGGAACCCTTTTGAACTTTTTAGGTACTAATTTCTACCCTTGAGGTATTAATATCTATACATATACAGTTGAAGTCAGAATTATTATACCCCCTGTTTATTTTTTCCCCCAATTTCTGTTTGACGGAGAGAAGATTTGTTTAACACATTTTTAAACATAATAGTTTTAATAACCCATCTCTAATAACTGATTTATTTTATTTTTGCCATGATGACAGATATTTTTCAAGACACTTCTATACAGCTTCAAGTGACACTTAAAGGCTTAACTAGGTTAATTAGGTTAACTTGGCAGGTTAGGATAAATAGGCAAGTTATTGTATAACTATGGTTTGTTCTGTAGACTCTAGAAAAAAAATAGCTTAAAAGGGCTAATAATTTTGTCCTTAAAATGGTGTTTAAAAAATTAAAAACTGCTTGTATTCTAGCCGAAATAAAACAAATAAGACTTTTTCCAGAAGAAAAAATATGATCAGATATATACAGTATATATAATGTCATAAAATTATTTGTAAAGCAAGTCAATTGTCTTTTATTCCTGGTTATTTCAACATAGTTTTCCAAAATCCCAGAAATGAGTTAATTCGGCGAAGCAGAATAAAAGTCAAGATATGCTGTTTAACTTGTATAAATATGTCTTATACACTGAATTAAACATTTTACTCCTATTTTGACTTTTGCGACTTAATTTTATTTTTATTATTATTTATTTATTTATTTATTTATTCCTAATCATGGAATATCAGGAATATGGGAGACCACAAGGGAAAGCTAGTTTGCTGCTGGAAGTGGTATTAGTGTGACCAGCAGGGGGTGTTCAACCTGGGGTCTATGTGGGTCCTAATGCCCCAGTATTGGGATGGGGACTCTATACTTCTCAGTGAGCGCCGTCCTTTGGATGAGGCATCAAACCTGACTGAGTTCCTGACTCTCTTGAATAAAAAAGCCAGAATGTCCTTCAAAAAAAAGAATAGTGGTTAATCCCGGCATCCTGGCCAAATTTGCCCACTGGCCTCTGTCCATCATGGCCTCCTTACCATCCCCATATTATAATTGGCTTCATCACTCTTCTCCACCAATCTGTTGGTGTGTGGTGTGCGGTCTGGCGCAATACGGCTGCTGTCACGTCCTGCAGGTGGATGCTACACACTGGTGGAGGATGAGGAGATTCTGCCCCAAAACAACGTGTAAATCGCCAATGTCTAGAAAAGCGCTATATAAATATAAGGAATTATTATTATTTTTTGTCGCTTTAAATTTGAGTTCCTACTTATCAAAAACATTTTCTCTATTACTCTATTGCACTGTTTGAAGTGGTCGATTTGAAGCCAAAACTTGTGTTAAAACACAATCTGAGGTAAATGATCAATTGTTGTTCTCAGAGTGTGTATTAAAGTCATGCAAAATGATTTTCAAGCTAGACCAAAATTGTTAATATTAACTAAAATTTGAATATTTTACCATATCATTTTAATATTACATTATTGATATACAAGCACAACAGCAGCTTGTTTTTCCATTCATTAGATTTTCAGATTTTTTAGTCAGGGAATTTGATATTTAGCTTAAAGTGGGAAAACCCAGAAGAATACTTGTCAATTGATGTCAGTCAAGTATTTCTAGATAAGAGAATAGACAAGCACACATTGAAAAATTGCTGTTGTGTAAATTTGTTTTCAAAGGTTAAAAAGGTGACAGCAATGTCTCCAGTATAGCCTGACCTTAGAAATCTGAAGCATCTAGAATACGCTAATCCTTTGTCCCTGGCACATTACTGTCCTGTCCACTCTCCTGCAGCTGTTCCCGCTCCAGTTCAGCACCACAAGCATTAAAGCTCCGATTTCACCACCATTAACATCTCTGACCCGACATTCCCACTGTAAGATGATTGTCCTTATGGTTCTTTCCAGATGATGTTTCACCTCAGCCTGCTCCTTTTGCGCACCGGTTTGTGGCGCTGAAGTCTAGCCCTCCGCCCTGTGACACCTTCAGTATCCACACCAGAGAAGTGCTTGGAGGGTGAGATAATGAAAGCTTTTGATAAGTCGTTTGTCAGTTCAGATGACTTATTTAGCATCTTTTAACTTTTAATAATCTGTTTTGTTAGTGGCCGCTTTGGTAAGGTGCATAAATGTACGGAGACTAGAACGGGGATGAGGCTCGCTGCCAAAATCATCAACACAAGAAATTCCAAAGAAAGAGTGAGTACACTAGTTTCATTAGTGATGTTTTGATAAGCTAAAACATTATGGCCATTTAAAAGTGAAGCAAATATTGTTTTTCATCTTCTAACAAGACCATAATGTGTATGCGACACTGGATCACAAAGCCAAAGTGTTTAAAGCCCGATCCCAATTCTACCCCTTAGCTCTTACCGTTCACGTGACTGGTAGGAGTGTCCCAATTTTCTTTATTTTGAAGGCGTAGGGCTAAGGGGAAGGGCTAGATAGCCCTCAAAACAAAGATTTTTTAGGACCACACTCAAAACCAAGGGGTAAGAAAATTTCCCAAAATACACCATCTACAACGGCAGCATGTCTGCACACAGAAGTCAGGCAATGCACAAATTAGTATTTTTTGTTGTTATTATTATGATTTTTACAACAAACAATCATATGTTTTAGTACATTCATAACCACATTTATGTTTTACTGTTAATGTAAAAAAAAAAAACGCTCAAATAAAAACCACTAAATTTCGCTACCTATAATCATCCTAATAACTTCTGCAGTCCCACAACATACTTTCACATCTGACACTCAATAACACTCGAGTCCCCTATCAGAAAAGTATAGTGGCTGTTGGCACTGATAGCCTAGTGGTTACTGAGTCAACACATAGCACCCAGGTGCTCGCGGCAACCCAAGTTCGATTCCCAGCTCGAGGTCCTTTGCCGATCCTTCCCCTATCTCTGCTCTCCACACTTTCCTGTCTATGAATCTTCATTGACCTATCCAAAAAGGTGAAAACCCCTAAAAAAATAAAAAATAAATAAAAGTCTAGTGGCTGAGAATGACATTTTCAGTGTCTGCTATAATGTTAATGTTGTTTTCGTGTATTTACATTGATGAATATGGCCACGGTGTAAATTCACAGTACAGTTACAATCTTGTTGCTTCATTATGTCGTTATATACACATTATATTACAGTGATTTCCTGAAGTTAAATTCTAAAAAAATAACGCAACTGGAATAACTACAGTAGTCGCCATCATCGATCTCATATGAAGCAAGAGCTCACGACGGCATATGATGACGTGTGCAGGTGTTGTAGTGGTGTCCCATTGCTTAGGGGTAAATTTTGAAGCCCTTCCCCTTCACACTCTGTTTCAAGGGACAAGGGGTAGGGGTACAAAAATAGAATTGGGACTGGGCCTAAATGGAGATTAATATATCATTGAGCTGAATGAATAAAGCTGCGGTCACATTAGAGTTTGAGCATGCGATTTTCTGTCGTGCAGCGCTGCGAAAAGGGGCGGGATTAAACTAGCTGATTAGACATTTAAGAAAAGTGAGCGATTGCTCCATGCTTTAAATTTTTGTCCAGAGAGGTCATGTTTTGATCCTCGATTGGTCTCACGCAGTCAAGTGATGCGATTTCGCAGGTCAGAGTTCACCAAGCTTCAACCTGCGAAACTTGACGCATGACCCTGCGTTTCCGGTCTGATGCATTCGCGTGGGTATAAATGGAAGGCTATGGGAGGAAAAGCCCAGTGTGACTAAAGCTTTTCATTGAAGTATGTTTACTTAGGATAGAACATCCGAGAGTTAAAAACTTTTAAATTGGACTAAGTGAAGTGCTTAATGCATGTAACCAACCAAAAATGTACTTCATATTGTATAACTGACCATAAAATAATTGTAATTAATGTACAGTAGGACATTTACATGATCTTTACAATTCAGTTCACACAATCAATTTACAGTTCTTCATGGAGCATAATCTTTATTTAATATTGTAAAGATTTTTACTATACACAAATATCAATATTTTTTACCCATATCGTGTAGTTGTGGTTATTCCCTAAAAATACGACTCCAAAATAAAATGGGTTTTGTGATCCAGAGTCACAAGTAATTAATTATTAGATTAGCACAGCCATATCACCCTTCAGCCCAAGACCGATTACTCACTGAGGCTTAGCCGGGCTGAGCAGCTGCTGAGTCCTCATTCCCCAGTATAGTGAAAGGGACACTGTACTGTCAGTGAGCGCCATCTTTCAGATGAGATGTTAAACCGAGGTCCTGACTCTAGGTGGTCATTACAAATCCCATGGCACTTCTCATAAAGAGTACGGGTGTGACCCTTGTGCAATAATGCATTAGTGATAAATAAAATAACACTGTATAGTGTGTAGTATTTGTAGTCTATATAATGAAACCTAATTAATTTTGCATTATATACGTTTCATAACAACTTGGTTTATGTTCGCTAAAATCTTGCACAGTCACAGGTCTTAAAAATCCATGTTTTTTAAGATTAAACTGTGATGCCCACAAATTACATATTCTGAACAGCGGTGCTGATCAACTATGATCCCAACTTTTGCTAATACTGTGATGTGACCATTGCAGATTTATACAGTGCGATATCAATGCTGAAACAACATATTGTGCAGCCCTAGTGTAAAGTAACAAATTACAAATACTGAAATTACTGTAACTGAGTAATATTTCTTAGGCATTGTGCTTTACCATGTAGTTTTACGAATGTGTATTTTTACTTTCAATCCAGTACATTTTTAGTGCTGTATTGACCCCTTTACTCCACCTGCAGTCACTACCTTATTTTTTCTTTTCTATGGTGATTGGCTGAGTAGAATAATCAGTCTTTTGATTTCCATCCAATCAAATCACACATAGAAAAAATAATTTAAATTGAGATATTTCAGTAATTTGATGGCCATTATTCTTATATACAGCCATTACAAAAGACCAAATATATCCTTTTAAGTAAGAAAGGACCATTTTGAGTTTCTGATCAGGACATGATATGACTGTTCTCTTGTTTTTACCAGGACATGGCACTGAATGAGATGCAGGTCATGAACCAGCTGAGCCACCCCAACATCCTCCAGCTTTATGAGGCCTTCGAGGTCAAGAATCAAGTCGTGCTCATCCTGGAATAGTGAGTAGAAGCAACCCTTTATACAAGCGTTACATGGAGTATGAACCTATTGATAGTCTTGTTTTCTGTAGTGTGGAGGGAGGCGAGCTGTTCGAGAGGATTGTGGATGAAAGCAGTCCGCTGACGGAGGTGGATGCGATGGTGTTTGTGAAGCAGATCTGTGAGGGCGTTCAGTACATGCATCAGATGTACGTGCTTCATCTGGACCTTAAGGTAACAGGCAAAGCAGGAAGGGTCAGATTTAGACTTCTGTTCTCATGCAGATTGTCTGGGATTATAGAGTAAGCAGTTATGGTATATGCTGTTTTAGACAATAACGTTGAAGGGAAATGTCAGTCATAAATAGACCTCAAGGCAAATTTAGGGCAGCCATTATGTTTATTGTCTTGAAATTTGTTGTTCAGTGATTTTTGGAACAACCGTTTAATTTTCCATTAAAAGAAGATCATATACTTGACTAAACAGCACATTTTCAGCTGTTGTAAATTAACCAATATGTATATTTTTCCGTTAAGAGTATAATTTCTAAATTAAACTTGGCTTGATTTACGCTATGTTCCATTCATAAGGGCTCATTTCTATGCCCTAATCCCTTTAAAGGGTTTACCCTCTGAAGTGACAGCTATGAAGGGTGTAGGAGACAAAAAAAGCTTCTCTTTGGAACGCACTTATTTATACAGTCAAACTCCAGTTGTTATTCTATCATATAACTTTGCTGCGCTTTACTCATTTTAGGATAAAAATGAGTCACAATGTTTATGCATTAAAAAACATTAATAAATAATAAAATGTAAAAGAAAACATAATTTAAAGCCGAAATTTATTTTCTGAGTAATTTGTTTTGATTTGCACCTAAAATGGATTTGTCTTACTGCTTTTCTATTTTTTTTCATTTCGTTCGCTGTGTATAATCTTTTTTTTCCTGTTATTGTCCTTTTAAAGAGCCCTTTTTGTGCATTATAAAAGGTTATATATTGGTTTTAGGGGTCTCCCACAACAGTCTGATATGCATGCAAGGTCAAAAAAATACTTTCATTGTCTAAAAATATGCATTTATTTTTGCCTAATTATCCTAAAGATTCCCATATGATTCGTTCAGCAAAACATTTGTGCCTCTCCTTTGCGTGAGGCTAATCTGCTGTGTCTTATGACCCAGTCTGTTGTGTTTGGTCGACTGGGTTCAGTGCGAGACAGAGAGAAAGGCCCACCATAGGTATGAAGTAGCACAGAATATGCGAGAGCCCAATGCAGGAGTGCAATAAAGCAATGCAGTTAAACAGGTTATTCCTCTATTCGTAACACGAACCCCAAGTAATAACAATGACACACATTCAGTATTAATCCAAACAGTTCCAGCTGGATGACAGGAACAAACACAGCATAGGTTGGCTATACTGTGGTGTTGTTGTGAAAATGTACTTTAACCGTTTATTTCCAGCAGCTAAGTCTCCATCTGTCAGTGATTGTCATCTTCGTGTCATGATTAGTCCTGTGAACCCCCGCGCTCTGCTAGTGCCTGAATGTTTTATCGGATCCGGCACATATTTGGTGATGTACCATATTAATGCGCTCAAGCAAAAGATCCGAACCCGATTAATTTATTCAACTCCAAGTTGACTATTTCGTTAAAGAGTCAATCGTTTTAAACGGTGCACTTTCAGATTTGGCCTCAGCTGGATGTTATCTTTCACTTAGAGCTGTGTTACACACTGCATAGAAGGCCATTTTCAAAAACCCACAAAAGGGGCTCTTTAAGTACATTTTTAAACAAATTGCAAAAAAAAGTCCTTATGCAAAAGATCAAGTGTCCATCGGCTGTACCCTTCAAAATCCTTTATTCTGGAGGGCCCATAATAGTGACCAGTTTTGAGCACTTCAGTTTGGAACAACACCTTAATAAGGTGGTCATTTTTGTTTTCAAAGTGCAATTCGGAGGTCAATATATCGCAATTTTAACGCACTATTGGTGTGCAAAAAAATTCTATTAAAGTTCTCAGGAAGCGCTTTGAGTTGCATTTTTGTTTGACGTTTGACTTAATTTGAACAAAAACATGAAGACAGGGTGGGACGTAGCTCCTCCTCCTTTTTAAGAAACAGCCAATAGCATTTATTTTTTTATCACCACTCTGCATGTGGGAGAGTGGTTGAGCTCAAGCTAATATAGCAATAGCATCTTGAAGGGGGTGGGACAAATAGTAGAAAGTAGAGAGCATTTGATTGGACAGAAGATTTGATGATTTATATAAACACTTTTAGGTAATCTGTTTTGTAGATTTTATTTTGTACTTTTGTACTTTGATTGTCAGATTGCAGCTTCTTTTCAAATATTTCTCACATATTAGTCATCCTTTCGGACACCCTTAAAGGTCCTGTGAAGTGCCTTGAAATATGCACTTTTATTCGATGTTTGACATAATCTCAACCACAACATGAAAAGAGGGTGGGACTCAATGTAGCCCCTCCCCTTAAAAAAACAGCCAATAGCCTTTTGGTTTTATCAATTCTTTTGCCAGTGAAAGTGATTGAAATCAAGTGCATCAAATGAAACGCAAATGAGAAGCGTCTTGAAGTGGGCGGGGCATGTCAGAGAGAGCATTTGATTGGTCAAGATTTGATTAGAAACTAAACTATGAGGTGACTTAAATAAAACTGTTTATCCATTTAGGCAGACGTGTCAAACTACAAACTTTACATGCTTATATCAGTGTTATATCTTCTGAACGCAAATTTTGTCAATGTTTTGGAGCACACTACCTAATAGATATCCTTAAAAACTAACAATACTAATGATACTAACGTCTAAAAAACATTATTTTAATTTCATGGAACCTTTAAACCTCTAATATGGTTTGCATAGAGTTGTTTTTTGTCTGACAGCTTTAAAACGCGGTGATGATCCAACAGTTTATCACTTTCTTTTTCAGCCAGAGAACATCCTCCTTGTTAATCGCTCTAGCCATCAGGTGAAAATTATCGACTTTGGACTAGCCAGGAGGTGGGATTTATACCATGATATTGTTCTTACCCGTGCAGGTTTATGTGTTCGAACAAAGATTAGTGTTGTCATCAGCCATTTTAACTGGCCTGACATTTGCCTTACATACTTTTCCAGTGACAAGCGTGTATTTTTGCATGTGTTAATCCCTTGGGAGTCAAATATTATAGCCGAGGCTTATTTTTATGCTTTGACTAACTTTTCTCTTTGTCCCTCTTCAGATATAAACCACGAGAGAAGCTCAAAGTTTCATTTGGAACGCCTGAGTTTTTAGCTCCAGAGGTTGTGAACTTTGATTTTGTCTCCTTCCCTACGGATATGTGGACTTTGGGAGTCGTCACTTACATGCTGTAAATCACACCAAATTCATGTTGCATCGTTCTGTGTTGTAATTTCAATATATGGTCAAAGTTGCGATATACAAAGTCAGAATTGGTATGGGGAAAAGTCAGAATTTCAGATAGAAGATAGAAAGTCAAAACTGAAGATATAGTCAGAGTAGTGTGTGTGTGTGTGGGGGGGGGGGGGATGGGGGGTGTAAGAATTGACAGAAAGAGGTAAGAATTTTAGGGAAAAAAGCAAGAATTGTGAAAAAAAGGTAATTATTAAGGGGGGGGGGGAGTAATAATGGTGAGGAAAAGGGTAAAAATTGAGGGAAAATGTAAGTATTGTGAGAGAAAAAGGTAAGGATTGTAAAAAAGGTAAAAATTGTGTCAGAAAGGGGTTAGGATTGTGAGTAAAGGGGTAAGAATTGTAAGGAAAATTGTCAGAATTGTGAGAAAGAGGTAAGAATTGTGAAGAGAAAGTAAGAGTTGTAAGGGGAAAAAAGTAAGCAATGTGAGAGGTAAAAATTGTGAGGGGAAAAAGTCAGAACTGTAGGGGAAAATAGTCTTAATTTTGAGGGGGAACCATTGTTTGAGAAAAAGTAAGAATTTTAAGAATGGAAAGTAAGAATTGTGAGAAAAAGTACAAATGTGAGATACGATTATGAAATTGTATCTCACAAAGGGGAAAAAGTAAGAATTGTGAGGAGAAAAGTAAGACTCTTCACTTTTGTCCTCAAAACGCACCACCCAAGCCCACCAAATGTCATAAGGCCCATATCGGCGAGCAGTACCCCTGATTGTAAGAGTCAAATTTTTAATGAAACAAGTCAGAATTTTAAGATAGAATGCAAATAAAAAGGTTTGTGAGATACAAAGTCAGAATTGTGAGAGGTAAAAGAATTGTAAGAGGTAGAATTGTGAGATGCAAATACATAATTGTATCTCACCCTTTTTCCTTGCAAAGTTAGAATTGTGAAGGGGGAAAAGTAAGAATTTTGAGAAAAAATAATTGTGAGGAAAAAAGTAAGAAAGAGAAATATTTGTGAGATACAAATTCACAATTGTGAGCAAAAAGTAAGAATTGTGAGATAAAGTCAAAATTGTGAAGGAGAACAAGTCAATTGTGAGGGGGAAAAGTCAGGATTTTAATGAAAATATTCTGTACTGGAATTAACACTTTTTAAACATTAACTGCATTTTAATTCAACATCGCTTTCTGCAAATAAATACAAAAGTAAATCCCCATTATAAGTACAGTTATTTTTATCAATGACGTCATACAAATTAGTTAAAAACATTGGCCAACAGTGGTAACGTGTGGTAAAAGAACTGGGAGTGAGTCCAATAACATCAAACAAGGGCAGTTAAACAGCATCCAGGGTCACTCTGTCATCTGTGTTGTCTAATTAAAGCATTACCAGTGTAATGGAGTATTTGGGTAGCCACCAAAACTGAAACTTGGGCTACACTGTTAGATTCATGTCAGCTAAACTGTTGAATTTCTAATATATACAGTTGAAGCCAGAATTATTAGCCCCCCCCCTGAATTATTAGCCGCCTTGTTTATATTTTTTCCTCAATTTCTGTTTAAGGGAGAGAAGTTTTTTTTTCAACACATTTCGAAACATAGTAGTTTTAATAACTCATCTCTGATAACTGATTTATTTTATCTTTGCCATGATGACAGTAAATAATATTTTACTATATATTTTTCAAGACACTTCTATACAGCTTAAATTGACATTTAAAGGCGTAACTAGGTTAATTAGGTTAACTAGGCAGAATAGGGTAATTGGGCGAATTATTGTATAATGATGGTTTGTTCTGTAGACTATCAAAAAAATAAATATATAGCTTAAAGGGGCTAATAATATTGACCTTGAAATGGTTTTAAAAAAAAATGTAAAACCCTTTTTATTCTAGACGAATATTATCAGACACTGTGAAAACTCCTATGCAACTCCTAACATCACTGGGTGTATATATATATATATATATATATATATATACATATATATATATATATATATATATATATATATATATATATATATATATATATATATATATATATATATATATATATATATATATATGTATATATATATATATATGTAAAGAAAAATCAAAGGGGATTTAATAATTCTTACTTCAACTGTATATATTCTTTTTCTGTTCTAGTTTAAGTGGCCTCTCTCCTTTTCTGGGTGATGATGACGGCCAGACCCTCAATAATGTGCTCATGGGGAACTGGTAGGTTACGATTAAGGTTACTTGAGAAATGCAAGTTAAAACAACCCCTCATAACTGTGAAATGAAAAGTCAGAACTATAATATATATATTTTTTATCTTTGAGAGAAATGTGCTGCCAAAGAAATATCTAATCTGAAATCTTTTGTGTTCATGAAAAATGTGAAAAACTTTCAATCTAAAAATGTGTTATGAAGCAGCGCCCCCTTTTGGATGTATGTAGGTACTTCGACGAGGACGCTTTTGAGCACGTGTCTGCTGACGCGCGGGACTTTGTTTCCAACCTACTGATCAGAGAAAGAAGGTAACGTAAAATGAAAATACAAGTTCATCATCATCATATTTTAACGCTTGGCCACTCCAAAATCACATAATTGTGTTTAGTTGAACACAATATTCGCATACAGTGACTATATAGTGGCACTCAAGTTAAAACAACAACTGTATTTTGTATGACTTTTGTATATTCGAAAGATTATAGGTGTTTGTTTTTAATTCATCATCTTTTTAGTGGTCGTATGAGTGCCACACAGTGTCTCAAACACCCATGGCTCAACAACATCTTTGAGAAAGCCAAAAGCAGTAACATCGTGCTCAAGTCACAGGTTCTCCTCAAGAAATACATGGCCAGGCGATTGTGGAAGGTAAAACACTGTGTTTAGAAAGTGGCAGATCATTGTGTCCTCAGTTTTAAAGTACTAAATGCTCTCTTGCTCTCCTTCTATACAGAAAAACTACATAGCTATCGCTGCAGCAAATAGGTTCAAGAAGATTGGAAGTTCAGGTTCCTTGACCTCACTTGGAATCTGAGTATGTTCAAACTCTTATAATACACAGGTCATGTCTTTGTATTGCTGTGCCGCACTGCAAATCACCTTTCACCTCTGAAGTTTGACTGGCTGCTGATTTTAATTGCATTGGTAAACCACACAAATCTATAATGTGCAAGAACCATTTATTTATACAATACATATATATCTTGTATATTGTTTCAAGCATTCATAAATTAAACGTATAGCTATAAACACTCACCGGCCACTTTATTGGGTACACCTTACTAGTACAGGGTTGGACCCCCTTTTGGCTTCAGAACTGCCTTAATCCTTTGTGGCATAGATTCAACAGGGTACCGGAAATATTCCTGAGATTTTAGTCCATATTGAAGTGATAGCAGCACACAGTTGCTGCAGTTTAGTTTGCTGTGCATCCATGATGCGAATCTCACGTTCCACCACATCCGACAGGTGCTCAGTTGGATTGTGATCTGGTGACTGTGAGGACCATTTGAGTACAGTGAACTCATTGTCATGTTCAAAAAAACAGTCTAAGATGATTTGCTCTGCATGACATGGTGCATTATACTGCTGAAAGTAGCCATCGGAAGATAGGTAGGCTTAGGCGTTGACACAATGCTCAATTGGTACTATTGGGCCTAAAGTGTGCCAAGAAAATATCCTCCACACTATTACACCACCACCACGCTGAACTATTAATACAAGGCAGGATAGATCCATGCTTCATGTTGTAGACGCCAAAATCTGACCCTGCCATCCTAATGTCACAGCAGAAGTCAAGACTCAATCGGCCAAGCAACATTTTTCCAATCTTCCATTGTCCAATTTTGGCGAGCCTTTGCAAATTGTATCTTCAGTTTCCTGACTAAATGCATTGAGTTGGTGCCATGTGATTGACTGATTAGAACTTTGCGTTAATGAGCAGTTGGACAGTTGTACCTAATAAAGTGGCCAGTATGGGAGAGCATGTGGCTAAAATGGAAAATGTCCTAAATAAAAGGGAGCAACTTTTCTTTTTTTTGATCTGATAATGCCTAAGATTTTATTATTCATATTTTAAATGGCCAGTAAATGAAGACCACGTATCCAAAATGTGACAGGAAAATAATGGTGGTCTGACATATTTTACGAGAAATAATTGTTGGTTCATGAACAGGAAGTAAAAACAAGAAGTTCAGTATGAATTTTTGCTCGTATCAACAAAGTATTTCATGCAGAAGATCCTGTTTTGAAATGTGACGAAACATTTATATTCATTTGCTGATGATGATCAGACTGTAAATACAGGTGGTTAAATAAGCAGTGGCATGTTCATTCAAATTGCATGTGTCATTAAATTTATAATGTGACTTCCAGAAATAAACGAATAAGAAAGTATTGGAAAAACACATTGTTTCCCTTCTCAATGCTTTCATTCATTCATATTTTTTCCACTCTTGGATGTAAAAACAGGAAAATAAAGTGTACAAAATGGATTCTAAACAGGTACTTGTGCAGACATGAGTAGAATTCCCCTGGAATTGAAATTACATCATGCTAATGATGTTTTTCAGATTATAATGTCAATGTTATTTTTAGAGAAATTGGAGAAAAACAAACCTTAATACATCTTAGCCTCCTCTAGATGTTTGTGGAGCATTTAATTCATTCCACTGGTTTATTATTAAGTTAATTTATCAAACCATGGCAATGTAGCAATAAAACATCACACTGTGTGTTTGTAATACAAGAAAGAATAAACTGAACTAGAAAAGAAAAGTTCGTAGACAAACTGTATGATGGGTTGAGAGAGCCTAGTCTGAAAGTTTGAAGTAGTTTTAAAGTTTAAATAATTGAAGTGGTTTTTAAGAAGTTTGAAACAGCTGGCATAGACAAGTACATATACGTTAGCATATACGTTTTCACATGTTTTTTTAGCATACATAAGCATATTGTTAGCAAGGTTTTAGTTTAACTTGGCATGTTGTTTCTATGAATTTAGTATGAATTAGCATGATGCTAGTATTAGTATGTTTTTAGTATGGATTAGTATATTGTTAGTGTCATTTGGTGTGTTGTTAGTATGTCCAATGTAGTCAATGGCAGTTTTTTTTTTTACAATGTACGTCTATGGGATAGTTGCTAGGGTGCTGTAAGTGGTTGCTAGGGTAAGACTAGTAAGTTGAAATGTCATCAGTGATTGGCAGATGAGTAGTCTGAGTTAAATGAGTGTAACCCCAAGTCTGTATGGCAGTCTGGCGCAAAGTTATGAGGTCTCAAAGTTTGGTCCAATGTTAAGTCAATGGGACTTTCCTGAATTTTCCAGGTCAGTTTTCGGAAGTCGGATCAGTTGGAAAAGACATAGCCACCTGAGTCCGACCAGTTTGGAGGTTTGGAGTGAGTTTGGTAATTGTAGTATGAACAGTCTAGTAGGAGATGCATATAAAAATTATTCTCAGAAGAAGAAGAATATTAAGTTTGTGTAGTAAAACAGTATGTTGGCTTTCTCAAGCCACCAAAATGACTTCTAATCTATGCTGACGTCTTCAATGTGCCAGATGATATTTACAAGAGTGTAATAAAATTATGTCTTATCAACTTTAGATTTTATAACACACAATCCAACTAAACAATTGTTTGAGTTTAAATAATATGTCATAATCATGACCCTATAAAGTGTAACCATGTTGTTGTGTTTTTGTTGCATTGATTAGCATTTGTATAACCACAGTTTTAGGCTAGTCAGGTCATTTTTTTTATTCTATATTGTTTTAACTGTGTCAATTATGTCAAAGCAGCATTTTCAACAAAATGACTATAAATATAATGGGATGTGTCTCAAAGCTTTTAATACTCCTTTCAGAGGTTTGTGGTTGGTGTACTGAAACTAGATGTGGTTAGCTCATCTATTAGGGCAATTCCTTGAAGATTTGATCTGCAAGACTTGAAGATAATTAATATGTACTTAGTATTCTTTAACTGATGAATAGGTGTACTAGTGTTTAATATTTAATTTGCCATTATTTAAAGAGCCCATATTATACATGAAATAAGGTCATATCTTGGTTGTAAGGGTCTCCAACAACAGTCTAATATGCATGCAAGGTCAAAAAACACTTTCATGGTCTTATAATCTGCATTTATTTTTATCTAATTATCCCAGCGACTCCTGTATGAATCGTCCAGTGATTCATTTGTTCCCAAACCCCTCCTTAGCGCGAAGCTAATCTGCGCTGATTGGGCCGATGACAGTCTGTCGCGATTGGTCGACTGCCTTCAGTCAGAGAGGGAAATGGCCAATAGCTAATCAGCAATTTAAAAAGTAATCACAGTTCATACACGCTCGATAGTGTAGGCGTGGACTTTAGCTGCCACACTATGGCGAGTGGATAGTGCCACGGATAACCGAACGAAGGAGACAGTCGTGTACTCGCCATACCACACACACACAAAAACACACACACACCTCCGGATGACAACGCTCCCGCTTCAGCCCGCACCCGCCAGGTTTTAGCCTGAGAACCCGCTCCGTTTTCTGCCCGCCGCGCCCGGTCCCGCTAGAGCGGAGAACACAACCAAATATCACCCAGTATACAGTCCAGACAGCCAAGCTGTCTGTATAAAAAAACACACACAGCACAAAGTACACAAAGCTCGTTCGTTCGTTCGTTCGCTCTCTCTCTCTCTCTCTCCCCGCGCCAGATTTCTGCGGCGCGGGAATACATTTCCGAATAAATCGCGGGAGCAGAACTCTAGCACGGAGCTCCATAAACAAACAGCACGCGTCGCGTTTTTAACGTGACTTTGCACGCGATAAGATAAAATATCCAGTTAACCTGATACAGTACACGCGGTTACAAGTAACAAATCACAACTAAATACATTTGCAAGCTAGAGTAAACGAGGAAACAACTTTAACCGCACGTACTTACACTTGATAAATGTAGGAAGAAACCCATCCTGACGTCCATCAGTTACTCTTTACTGATCCTTCCTTTAACAAACTCAGATGAAGTATTCTTTGTAGCATGTAGCTTCCAGAAGTTTCCAACTGCTTGGTTATAATGCTGATGTTTCATCTTTGGGTAGAGACTCAATATAATATCCATCTGCAGTGTGACTTCAATCGACCGGCATGTTTGTGTGCGTGTGTTTGTGGGTGTGCGTGTGTTTGTGGGTGTGTGTGTGTGTGTGTGTGTCTGGGTTACTGCGTCAGAGGGCGGGGCCTCAGGTTTGAAATCTCCCGGGTTTGCGCGTGCACGTGAAAAACTTTGTTTCGTTCGTACGTCATGGCGAAACACCTAATGAGTCGGTATCAAGGCGACTCGTTTGAAGCACTATGATTCGACTCTTTTATAGATGAATCAACAGTTTTAAACACTGTATTCTTACAGATTTAAGCCTTAGCTGGATACTTCACTTCACTTAGAGCTGTGTTACACACTACATGGAGGGGAATTTTCAAAAACCCATAATATGGGCTCTTTAATAGGAACTAGTATGTGATAAAAACAGTGCTCAGCATATAAGAGTACAGCCCATTTTGAAAATGAATATTTTTATTTATTTCTCAGTAAATATGGATAATATATATTGGTGCATTTAAACAAAACAGATTTATCAAACAGATATGTATATTAAAATAAAATTTTAGTCACAGAACATCTTTAGTAATGGAAACATAAAACATTTACATTCATGCAAAATATTTCAACCAAATTATTTATATTTTTTTGTTTCTCCTGATTTTTGCTATTTTTCAAAATTTAATTTAATTTTTTCCCCTAACCATTATCGCAAGTTATTTTTGTTAGATTAGCTCCAGATTTGGCTTCAGCACTGACTAATGCACAAATATAATGTTGTAAAGCTTCATATAGAATATGTGAATTGAAATTAGAGATGTGGTGTGTACTCAAATATGCTGAGCACTGTATATACTGAATAAGTATAAAAAAAAGATATTAGTATCTAAAAAAAAAGATGCTAGCATGAAAACTGATGCCATACTTATGGCAAGCCGTTTTGACATTTAATCTATAACTCGTACTAGTATCTACTGTCACGTTACTACTTATTTTTAGATACTAATATCTTTTCCAATAAGTACTAGTGCTTATTCATTTTACTAGTAGTGTCTATTCTTTAGTTACTCGTGCTTTTTAAAAATACACTAGTGCTTACGCAGTAAATACTAGTTCTTTTTACTAGATACTAGTACTCATTCATTAGATTTTACTACCTATTAAATACTAGTACTTGTTCATAAGATACTAGTGTCTATTTAATAGATATAGTTCTTATTAATTAGATATTAGTACTTATTAAACAGATACTTATGAAATAGATACTACAACTTATTTAAAAGATATTAGTACACATTTATTAGATATTAGTACTTGTTTGAAATGTTACTAGTGAAATGTTTATTTGAACTCTGCTTTTCCATTTAGACTAGTCATAACATAAGACTGTTAAAAAGCAGAACTGACTAGTAAAATATGAATTGTTACTAGTAATAGTTATAAAAGACACTAAGGGCGTATAGATTTGCTTTTGTTTTTGATGGTGACCTAATTTGACACCATTTTATCTCGATTGTTGTTTTTTCATAATCGCCGTGGAGACCAAAATCAAAATAAGCCTTTCATTAATTGGTTACTATTATAGAGAGCTAGTAACAAACTTGACCTGACAATTTTCTTTGAAATGTAGCTGCTTGTGTCCACTTCTCACCTGAGTCTTGCACAGTTCGCCTGACTGGAAAAATTCTACAAAGCATTATTTTATTTTGGAGGTGATTAAATTATTGGTGGGGAAATTTTAATCTGTGGATATTGGTGGCATCATGTCCCCTCCGTCCATGCTTATTCTACACCCTTGAAAGATACTAGTGTCTCATAAATAGATACTGGTAGTTATTGATTAGTAATAGTAATTGTTTATTAGTTACTGGTATCTAATGAATTGGTACCAGTATCTATTTAAAAAGTACTACTAGTATCTAATGAAAAAGTAGTAGTACCTAATACATAAGTAATAGTATCTAATACTTAACTAGTATCTAATTAATAAGGACTAATTCATAAAAATATGTACTAGTCCCAGCTGGAATACATACTAGTCAAAAGTGAATAGTTGATATCACAATGACATATCCCAATAGAAATAAATGGAAAGTGTTTTAATTTGTTACTAGAAACATAATTGTTACTATAGTTCACTATTAAAATAAGCACTAGTATCTAATAAATAAGAACTAGTATCTATTTAATATGTACTTGTACCTATTAAATAGATAGTATCTAATATATAAGTACTAGTAGTATGTACTAAACAAAATTAATGTCTAATGAGTAGGCACTAATATATTTTTAAAAAGCTGCATAGGCACTAGTATCTATAATAC